CTGAAAAAAATTTGACAAAACAAGAGCAGTGTACCAGAAAAAGATCAAGATGACTTCCGTTGCAACCATCATTGCCGTAGTGGTTACCTCGCAGAGTGTAGAATATAATTTGTCGTTTTGTTTATCAAACGACCAAATCGGCACGCAATAGATAGTTTTAAAACGAATAATGTTATGAATCTGGAGATTACGAATAAAATTCAAATCCGAAACTATTTTGTACTTATGTATTTAATTGTATTTTAGTTATTGCAATTTGTACGAATTATAAGAATACTAGACCACTATTTTAAGAACCCACCGACAATGTAGATTGTTCACATACATATTTATGTATTTAGCGATAACTGGCGTGAATACATATGCAATAGACGTCTCGGTTAACAATTGTGATATCTTTCATTTTTTGTACAAATCCGTGTATACATATTTATGTAAATACGCATATAAATCAGTACTTACTAAGCACATGTTTTCACTTATAAAAGTCATTAGCTTTAACGGATTGTTGAAACAGTGTTATCGAGAGTATGAATGTAAGATGAGCATAAAACTGAGCAACAGTGTGGAACTGAAAATGTTTCTGTCTGCAACTTCAGAAGCACAAATGAAAGTTTATCTAGAAATGTTTGTGTTTGATTTAGGACGCAGGCTAAAATAAATAACGTTCACTTTTTATCCAGCATTTATTTATTTTAGACAAGTATGCTTTTATGCAGCTTAAGTGACAGTACGTATATATTATACATAGGTATCTCGTGCATTATTGTTTTATACTCTTGCAATATGTTGCTACAGAATATAACAGTTTTATTCACCTAAAAGTTGTTTGTATCATCTAAAACTAATCGAGATAAATATGGGGTTATGTATACAAAAGGAATAATTCTTACATTCCCATATTACAGAGCAAAAATGGGCGAAATCGGACTATAACCACGCCTACTTCCCTTATAGAACAATTTAAAATTCCATCTTATTCTTTTACTTTCCAGTATACAAATAAAGCACAAACATCCGGTTGATTTTACTGAGCAATGCCAAAGATAAATGTAACAAGCCCAGATCCTTCTCTGTCCTTAACATACCCTGTATAGTGTTTTCCGATTTTCCAACTGATTGAATATGAAGTAAAATACAATAATAAAACTAAGTGAATCTATGACCTATAATATAGGTAAATTAATGGGGCGTGGCCCCGCTCTCAAAAGGTTTAATGAAGATTTTAATAATAATGGAAGAAATCTGATGGTCTACTCCCCAATTAACGGTACTATCAAAAACTACTTAAAGTGCGATTAATCACGGACTACACCAGAGACATTAAATTTTAATCCAATGATGGTATGAAAGAGCTTTATAGAAGTTGGGGACAGAACTGGACGATGGGCGGGTCACATATCTAGGTAATATACATTCTTCTAATATTCCTGTGTTACAGTGTAAACTCGGACAATATCGAAATACAACCACGCCTACTTCCCATATAACACAATTTTAAATTCCATCCGATTCTTTCACTTTCTAGTATGGAAATTAAGCCCCACTAAATGTATTGGGATAAAACTTTGCACGAATCATTATGCCACTTTATGAACAAAAGTTGTGGAAATCGAACCAAAACTGTTCAAGTCTCTATGTGCTGAGTATGTGGACCCCAGTGCCTATAATTGACCGAAAATATCGGTCAGTGTGTGAGATATATAGTTGTAATTCGGAGAGAATCCTTCCCTGATAATAGTATAACTGAATTCTAAAAATAGGTTGAGTCGGGTCAATACTTCCCTCAGCGCCATATAAATAATAACTATAAAAAATTTCTAACTTTCGGGTGATTTTATACCGCATATGTGAGGTAAAGTGTTTACCAGCACGTCTAATGTAGCTTAGGATCCCATTCCCGCCTAGAATCATAATCGCCTGTAGAGACTCTCTTGAAAATATTGTATATGTTTTTATATACTGAAATAAATTGACAAAGCTAAGGCATTTTTAAGTGCTATATACTGGCCTCACCCCTTAAGGAAGATTTCAAATCTACTAATATAAAAGCTACCAAAAATTTCATGTTAAAAGCTTATATTCACGATTATCTGATATAACATTTTTTTGAAATAATATTACAAATTGTAACTGTCAACAACCGACGCTATATCTACAGAAACATTTTTCCCACAACTCTCAAAATTCAACCAGAATTGTTCACAAATTTACCGCTAATTGTCAATTGTGTGCGCTTTTTATATGGTTTCACACTACACGCAACCAAAAGCCACCAACCGTTGACCAATTGGCCATTCATATTGCACGCTCAGCATTGAATTCATTCATAGAAGCCGCTAAGTTTTGAAGGCAGCGACAAAAAGACCGCACAACTCTTTGAAAATTAGAAAACAAAACAACAAATATCTCAAAAAAAAAAAATACAAATAACAGTAAACCACAAACAAAAGCTAAATAAGGCTGGACTATAACTAAGCAAAAAAAAAAAATAAATTTAAAATCAGGTATAACTATAATAACCAACAAAATGCAAAAAGGTCGCATGGGTATATATTTTTAAAGTCAAAACAAATATGCGACAAAAAGGAAAAACAATTACCGGCAATTGGCTCTAAGCAATATTCACAATGCAGACAAGAACAAATAAGATGAGACATAAACATAATTTTATTTAAAATTACCTAATTTCCCTGAACAAATATATACTTAACACTGTGTACTTTGCGGAGTTTTTGTTATTGTTTTAATAATGTGTTACAAAACCTCAAAGGAATAACACAATTACAATTTCCCACCAAATCTTCACACACTCCGCTGATTTCCATTACGGCGCTATGCAATTTATTCGTCAGCTTGTGGTCACTTCTGCAGCTTGTTGAAACTTAGATGAAAATTGGCAGTAATAATCATAAAAAGAATAACGAAAAACACCGGTAAACACAACGACAACGATGTGAATATGAAGAACGGTATATTTTAGGCAAAGAAACCAAAAGCAGGTGTGAGAGCAATTTTATTTTGTGTTTTCTTTTTCACTCAATTGCACTTACTCCCCTGAGGCACACCATCTGCCATTGAGTCACAGGTATATACAAGTAGATATTAAGTAATATAATATATAGATCTGGACTTTACGCTGGTCATGAATGCCAACAAACATGGTAAATACATATTACCAGCGAACCGCCACAAAAATGGCGGAATGAGAAAAAAAGTTGTGTTAAATGTGCACAGCATGCAATTCATTTGTTTAAGGCCGTCGCAAAGCAAGCGAAACTAAGTAAAAATGTTAACTTCTACTGCCCCAAAGCTATAATACCCTATACAGGTGCATTTCTTATAGCATAAAATGGGACAAAATCGACCTTGATTTTGATCCGCCCGTTTATAGGGCAGCTATATGCTAAAGTGGCCCGATCTTACAACTTTTTTCAGATACAAGTATTGTAGCAGTGCTTTGAATAATAATTTATACATTTCATGAAGACATCTTGTCAAAATAAAAAGTTCTTCCTGAAGAAGAGAGGTCGCGTACAAAATTTCAGATCGATATCTCTACATCTGAAGGGCTAACTCGCGCATATACAAACAGATGAGCTAAAGCGGATCAGCTCGTCACACTGGTCATTCATATAAATACATATACATATATACATATATACACATATATAGTATCCTACCTTTCCTTCTGGGTGTTATAAATTTCGTGTCAAACTTAACAACTCCTGTTAAGGGTATACAAAAAATTGGCGCAATATGCGGCAAGAAAAATTATCAAGTGAAAATTTAATATCCGTTAAATTTCAAAAAAGAAGGAAACGTAATGGCGTTAAGTCGACAATAAGCGAAAAACGCAGGCACATCACATTCTATCTCTGAGGAAGCAGAAGAAAACAGCAGCAAAATACTGTTGTTGCTATTTTTCTTATTGTGGATTGAAAATGCTGCGATGGCGGCTTATTTCATTTCACTTGCATAGCTTAAATTAGACATGAAATGCTCCTCAAACGAAAAATTAAAATAAAATATTATATACCCACGTCTTGCGGCGGCTTAATTCTTATTATTGACTGCCGCAAGTGAAACTTTTAGCGGCCGACAGCTGAAGGGATGATGGTATTAAATGCCTTCACTTCCGATCGGCACATCAAAATGAAAATACTGCTGCACGGAGAAGTGGAAATTATACTGAGCTAAAGCGTAGCACCAACAGCTGTTGACGGATGCTGCATGAAATGCCTGCTGCAGTAATAATCCTCTAAATAGAGTGCTAAGCAAGAAACTTCGATGTTTACCTTTGGCCTTTTGGAACTTTCAAAGTTAAATTGTATTTTCTTATTAGAACACTTAAGCATTACATACAACAAAAAATATACGCTGAATTAAAAGCAGTTGGCGATTATAACTATGCAGCGCCAATAACGACAGAATTCTATCATTTTGGTACAGCACTCATATTTGCAGTTAGAACATTCCACAACTGTCTTGCTACTATAACATTAAAAACGAAACAGTTACTTCTTACCATTGCACAGTGGGCCAGATTTTCAAAAAAGCTGGCCAAAACTCTAATTAATAAGATAACGGTACAAAAATTAGTATACCCATGTTTTTTGATGCGCTGACTTCGAAAAACATGGTTTCAAGATAATTCAACAATTTTCTAAAGTTCTTCTGAGGTTAAACGACTGAAAAATTAAGATTCAACACTGAAAATTTGTGTACTTAAGACTTTGATAGCCACAGTAAAGAAACATATATATAGGCTACCTTTATACTTAAATTGAAAATTTGCCCTCGCCCAATTAGTTTCAATTTTATAAATTTACTTACGCGCTTTACCACGAGAAGGTATGGGGTGGGACTTTTAAACGCATTTCATTTTTTTTCTATTTTTTTTATTTTTAGTTTTTTTTTTACTTTTTATATTTTATATTTTTTTGGTATTTTTTAAATATTTTTATTGTTTTTTTTTATTTTTTTTTTTTGATTTTTTTAATTTTCTAAATTTTTAAAATTTTTTAAATTTTAATAAACTTTGTTATATTCCTCATCTGAGGTTTCATCGTTTTCCGATTCTTCGTTTTGTGTGATAGTTTGTGGAATATCAGGCATTTTCAAAAGAGCAATGACATCAGCTGAAAATGATTTAGATTTTTTTCTTGGAGTTTTTTGTAAGCTCGAAATTAAAGGATATGATGAGACAAGAAGAATATTTAATAAATCTTGGTTTGTATGAGTTCGTGAAAACTTCCTTGTGTGACTTAGCCTGTACATTTTATAATTTTTGTTACCTGACTCCTGTGCTTCTTCTGATAACTTCCCGATTGGCAAAATTGAGTTTGAAATTATGACAGCACCGTGTAGAAGGATTTTGTGAACAGACGCGGGCATTTTATACCAACCATATTTTTCAACAAAAAGTCTAGCAGTTTCAAGAGCATATTGTTCGTATGCATTTGCATTCATAGCGAATCCACAAGCCAGAGTCTGAAGAATAACTTTGAATCTTCTAATTAAATTCTCATCAATCCCGGTTATTTCAGACGATTTTAATGTATCTTCGAAAAATCTACGTGCAGTGTTACCGTCGTTTGTTGTGCCACTTCCGCCGGTTTTTGGTATATCTACCAGTAGACTGTATGGTTGAAAAATCACGCAAGTTGTCCCAAGATTTTTTGAGTTGAGGTCACACTCTTAAGTGCCCTTAAGAAGTTCCTGACCGTGGTACTGCGCGGAAATGCACGGAACACTTGTGTAGAAAAGGAAAAATGCCGTTTATTGTTCCCATTTAATTTACATGTAAATTAATAAAATTACGAAATAAATAATATCACATTACTAAGAAACTAAACAAGATACATCAAAATGCTTTTACATGCTTAAAGTCAATGCATCAAAGATTAGAAAATAATTTGTTTAAACCATTTTTGTTCACTTTTATTTTTTTGAGTTTTGGCCAGCTTTTTTGAAAATCTGGCCCACTGTGCATTGCCGCCTCGAAGTTGTACGCAATCTGCAACTGCTCCTCGAGTATGGAAAGCGGATATGATCAAATGATTGATGGCAAATATAAATTTATAAACAATATGTGCAATATGTGTGTAATGTGGCAGCACTACCACTACCGTTTGTAGTACGGATGGTCAGTTAGTGAACGTTTATTTCTATTTGCTTTATTTCGGTGTTCTTATTGCAAACTGCAAAGATTTTTGACAAATGCAGCAGATTATTGAAATTTTTCATCAGAAAAAAAATTATTTAAAGAAAATATTGTGAGCTTAAAATTTTAATGATGCGGTATATTTTTTATGTTATTATGGAAAATTTGATTGAAAAAAATAAATTAAATATACAAGTGTAAGCTACAACAAAGGAAAATTTTTTTATTTAATATAAAGTTTTCCTAACACCTGAAGGTATTTGCCCTTATTTGCTCTTTGCAAGTTCCAAGAGTATAAAGTTTTACAAAAGGTTACACCCGAACTTAGCCCTTACTTACTTTTTGATAATAATCGTATATTCTTTTAAGCCATTCTGAAGTGTATATTTTTTTTATAAAATATTACTTTTTTTCACTACTTGCATTCATCTATAGTAATATCTTTCTCACCGTCCTACACCTTTTTTCGGAATGCCTCCTGGAGATGGGCTGTGCGATCCAGGAAATTAAATTTTTTTTCCCATTTTACTTATTTACTTAATAATATACCTCTTTAAAAACAAAAACAGAATTGACGAAGAAAAACGTGTTCTCTGACTTGAAAGTGAATATAATCTCTATTTTAAATATTAATTATTATAATATAATAATAGCTCTATACTTATGTATGTATATTCGCCTGATGGAAATCGCTCATGGCAAGCATCTACCTTTAGAAGAAGAGGTTTGCGGCATAGCTTCAAAGAACGCAACAAATATGTTGAGCATCTTGGTATCTTACTGCTACTTTTCTTAGTATTTCTTAAAAACATACATACATCCATTTTTAAATAAATTAAAGCAGAAATGCGTATAAAGAAGCGTTTGAACGACAAACTTTTAACTTACACGGAACACTCAGACACGGTATTTACTCTCGTGCTATACCTTAACAAATTTATGCTCAAGTCAATTAATTTGTGAAACAATCTGTTAATGTTTGTAGCCACTTGAGCCTAAGCCCCTTCACTAACTTTCAGCCCACAAGCTTGTTGTGAACTTTAAAGATTTGTGCTTAAATAGAATTTTTATGCCTACTGCAACAGTTTTCGTTTATTATTATTTTTTTTTTTTTATTACCTTCTACTTTGAAGTTGTTCGCTGTTGAGCTTACAAATTTGCTTAACCACCAACAGGCAACAAGCACATCCAAACATGCCTTGATATTAGCAGCAGAGTAACTTACAAATTACAGAATTCTCCGAGAAAAATCCAATTTATACTTTCAGCAGCCGCTGACGCGGCTTATGCACCATCCGGACCTTCTAATTTATGTTATTACTTTGTTATTCATATATTATGGTGGATGGAGGATAGAAACTACTTTAAGCTAATTTCGAAAAAGATAACTCGCCTACTTGTGGACTCCTTTCGAAAATAAACTCTGCTTGAATTTGGGCTTATACGGCTAAAAGGTTTAAAATTACGAAATCCACAATAAATAATAATGTTATTTTATAAGTTAAATATTTTGCCTACATTTTCGTGCACCTTATGCCCACGAAAGGCATAAATTAGCACATAATTTTAAATTACTTCTAACAACTTTTTTTTACTTTCCAGAACAATGAGCAGTCCTACGAGCAGTCTTCCATAAATCAGGGATTTAGTAAAAATTACGGTACACTCTCACCACCATCGCCCACACTCACCGCGGATAATCTCACCTACTCTTGGTATAATTTGGATGTGTTCGGTGCTGTCCATCAACCGGGTTCGGGCTGGAAACAACTGCTGAATCGTGTAAAAGGGGTTTTATGCAATGAGCGTCATATTCCTGCGCCGCGTAAACATCTTTTAAAAAATGGTAAATAACAACAAAGTAGATTTAAATATTTTGTTCTCGTCTTACACTCTCAAACTGCTCAATTTGCTTTCCAGTTTCCGGCGTCGCTTATCCGGGTGAATTGCTAGCGATCATGGGCAGCTCTGGTGCCGGTAAAACCACACTTCTGAATGCGATTGCCTTTCGCTCATCGAAAGATATTCAAATATCTCCATCTACCGTACGCTTGCTCAACGGTCATCCCATTGATGCCAAGGAAATGCAAGCACGTTGTGCTTATGTTCAACAGGATGATCTATTCATTGGTTCGCTCACCGCACGAGAGCATCTCATCTTTCAGGCAATGGTGCGTATGCCAAGGCATACGACGAAAAAGCAAAAGATACAACGTGTGGATCAGGTTATTCAAGATCTCTCGCTGGGCAAATGCCAAAATACTTTGATTGGCGTGCCGGGTCGTGTGAAAGGCTTATCCGGTGGCGAACGTAAACGCTTGGCATTTGCTTCGGAGGCGCTAACGGATCCCCCACTATTGATTTGTGATGAACCTACATCAGGTTTGGACTCATTTATGGCACACAGCGTCGTACAAGTACTAAAGAAGCTATCGCAGAAAGGCAAAACAGTCATATTGACCATACATCAGCCTTCTTCTGAGTTATTTGAACTTTTCGACAAAATATTGCTCATGGCTGAAGGTAGAGTCGCATTTATGGGTACACCGGGTGAAGCGGTAGACTTTTTCTCATAGTAAGTACCGTTTTTAAGTTAATTTGAGTTAGAAAAAATGCTCTAGGTAAATACTTGTTCAAAAATAAACAAAAATCAAAATCGGATTATAGCTTCTTTCAATAAATTCAACTTAACCTCAGTTTCTCTTAATTTCAAACTTTGCTTTTTCCTTATTCATCTTTTTTACTCCCTCCTTTAGTATCGGCGCTCAGTGCCCAAACAATTACAACCCCGCAGATTTTTATGTACAAGTTTTGGCCGTAGTGCCTGGTCGGGAAGCGGAATCACGCGACCGTATAGCCAAAATTTGTGATAATTTTGCAGTTGGAAAGTAAGTAGTTCACGCAAATAAAGCTACACTCCTCTATACTTAATATTCTCCTTTGCCGACCAGGGTCTCTCGCGAGATGGAGCAGAATTTTCAGAAACTGGAGAAATCTAATGGCATGAACAAAGAAGACGAGAATGGATTTACGTATAAAGCTTCATGGTTTATGCAGTTTCGTGCGGTACTTTGGCGCTCCTGGCTGTCAGTGTTGAAAGAACCGTTATTAGTGAAAGTGCGCCTATTTCAAACGACAGTACGATCAACCCTATACCATTATAGTAGATTGACTGCGACTTGATACTCTAATATCATTTTAGATGGTTGCTGTTATCATGGGACTGATCTTTCTAGGACAACAATTAACCCAAGTCGGTGTGATGAACATTAACGGTGCCATTTTCCTTTTTTTAACTAATATGACCTTTCAGAATGCTTTCGCTACCATAACTGTAAGCAGTATATCTCATATTTTTTCATATGTGCCCAAGTCAACATCGTATCTTTCAGGTTTTCACATCCGAACTGCCTGTGTTCATGCGTGAGACTCGCAGCCGTCTCTATCGCTGTGACACTTACTTTCTCGGGAAAACAATTGCCGAACTGCCACTCTTCTTGATTGTTCCGTTCCTCTTTACAGCCATCGCTTATCCATTGATTGGTTTACGTCCTGGTATTGATCATTTCCTGACCGCGTTGGCGCTTGTTACATTGGTTGCCAATGTTTCGACATCATTTGGTTATTTGATTTCATGCGCCTGCTCGTCGACATCAATGGCGCTATCAGTGGGCCCACCTGTTATCATACCGTTTCTACTTTTCGGTGGATTCTTTTTGAACTCCGGCTCGGTGCCGGTGTACTTCAAGTGGCTGTCATATTTGTCATGGTTCCGTTATGGCAATGAGGGATTGTTAATCAACCAGTGGGCCGATGTAAAACCTGGCGAAATTACTTGCACTTTGTCGAATACGACCTGCCCCAGCTCAGGCGAGGTTATATTGGAGACGTTGAATTTTTCGGCGAGTGATTTACCATTTGATTTTGTTGGATTGGCTTTGCTTATTGTTGGTTTTCGGATATCAGCGTATATAGCACTAAGAGTGCGCGCTCGTCGTAAAGAGTAAAATTTAATTTAAAATTTTATTATAAAGTTTCCAGTTTATTTTTATTTTTTTTTTTTTTTTGTATTAAATATTTAGTTTTGTATGCATTTTTTTCAGAGAATAAATCAATAATTTTGGCAAAACTCGTGTTTTTATCTTGACTAAAGCAAAAAAGAATATTTGCAAAAATCTGCAGGCGGAGAAGGCAGCGTTAAACGAGTCAGAACTCTGCACTCCGTACAATAACAGTGCGCTTCTTGATGTCTCCCATTGAACGCCCGTACCGTGAGGCCTGCAAGCTTCCGGTTAAGGAACACAATGCACTTACTCTGAGCAGTTTCTGCTAAGACGCTTTCGTAGAGATTATCCTTGCAGCCATATGCTTGGAGCGAACATCAAGAGATCATTGCTTGATAACGTCGACGACATAGCAAAATTTACCGACCAGTCTACGACCGCGGCAAAGACCATTTCAGGCATGCACTGAACGCCATTTACAGTTTAGCTATTTACACCTTCACTGACTCACTACCAATTAATGGCGTGCTTGGAGTCGAAACGCCACCAATTGCAGATGAAGGGCCAAAGTTCTGGCGCCTTTCCTGTACCTTTCTTTAGACGATTGCCATCTAAACACAGGCTACAACAACAACCAGCTGGTAGTACCTTAATTACTTGCGAAATGTGTTGTGCCACTACGCCAACAGCAACCGTAATTAAAATATAATTAGCCGTTTATTGTTGTGGACTCAATTTTTTAATAAAATTACTATTCAAAATATAGATATTATGTTTATATAGAATGGCAATTTTTCCTTGTCATTTTCAATTATTTTTTAATATAGTGGCTACACCGCAGTCAGGATCAAGTCCGGTTCCGTAAAATTTAAAATTTATATTTCCATTCAAGCATTTCAGCATGCAGAGCATTTAAAATTTCCCACCATACTAGTTAACGTATTCACCAAAAAACACACCACTTACGAATGTCAGCGTGACAGCCACACAAGCGAATGAAATAGCAACAGCTGTCAACACAGGGAAAGCGAAAATGAGAAATAAAACGATACAAAAAAGGAATGCGCAGAAATCGCCGGCGTGAACAATAATCTGAAGGTAACTTGCAACGGAAATCGATTTATTAATGGAAAATCACACAAAATTTAGGAAACTGTGCCCACAAATTCATAATACTATGTTAAGTCGTGTGTGAAAAGTGAAAATATGTCAATTAATACAGTGGAGAGGCAAGCATGAATCATTAAAAAAGTTGTCTGCTACCGTGGCTTCGCATGTCTACATAGGCTGGAGCTTCTGTATTATAAAAGTTTATACAACACAAACAAGCTATATGCTAAATTATTTATCTAATCAACAATCGTATTTTGTTGAGCGGAAAGAGTGGCGTGAGTATTTCAAGAGACGTACATGTCGTGAGTGTACTCCATGCGCGCTTATTGTCCAAGCAAACGTCGAACAAGAAAACAAAGTAAACTCACTATTAAAATTTGTTAAAAATATCAATTGTTTAGTAGTGCTCATAGCGAGCGGTTAAAGAAGCAGTGCGTCCACAACAGTACATAGCTGGAAATTTATAAAGTTTATAGTGTCGTCATAAAACAAGAAATTTACTTTACTTTCATACGTAAGTGTCTGAAATATGTGTTGTTGAATAGGTGTGCGTCGCCCACGGGAAGTGGCAAAAAAACGCAAAAAAAAAATCGAAACGTGTAAGGCTATTGACGTTGTCGTGTACCTACGTCATACCAGCGCATAGTTGAGTAGTCATACCAGCAAACATACATATGTATGTAGTGTATTATGATTACAATGCCTAAACATACATCCTTTGGGACAACTAAGTGCGCGGTATTTCATTGCTATTAAACGTGTGTATACGCTACTCTCCTCAATAAACGTTCGCATTCGTATTTATTCTTTATTCTGTTTTTAACCGGTTCTTCAACCCCTTGTATAAGTTGTAACACCAGCATTGCTGTTTCATTTTTTTATTTTTTATTTTTCGGTTCGACCAGACAGTTCCAACACAATTGATTAAACTTTACCCGGTAAATTTACAAGGGACAGTTCCCACTGCTGTTCCAGTAGTCGGCAGCTGTTACACACGCACATAACCTCAAACTCAACCAGCTGATTTCGTTTTGCTTGGCTGTGAAACTGGCAGTTTGTAAACAAAGTGTTATCAGCGCAGCAAATCCACTCCTATCTACTCTTGCTGCACAACCAAGAAGTTATCCACATTTCCTTTTATGCTGTTTTCGACTTTGCGAAAGTCAAGAAGTCACATTGCTTCCTTCGTGGTGAGTTAATAACATTGTACATGAAAGGAGTGCGTTAGTACACAAGGACAAAATGAATATAGACACATTGCGAAACGAGTGGGACGAACTCACCAAAGAGTACAATGAACTCGAGGTAAGTAGAAGTAATGTTTTTCTTAAAAGTAAAAGTGGTTTTTGTAAAAGTAAAAGTCAACAACTTTTGCATATCAAAAAAGGTGGACTAGGGTTATAGTTTAACAACATAAATGCGGAAATATATAATTTAATAATTGTTTTATTTTGTTGTCATATTTTAACGACACTATATACATAAAATAACAAACACAATTGTTTTATCTGCATACATACAAACATAAAGTAAAAAAAGTAAATTGTAAAACATTCACACTTAAATTTAAAAAATAACACTCTGGGTCATTTACCAACGACTATTTTGTTAGGTCCGTTATGCGTTATACAAAAATAACAATTTCGAACACTTTTTGCTTTATTGCTAAATCTAGCATCATGCATACTGCCAAACTTTTAGCCATACATGCAAAAGCTATAATATTTTAACCAAAGGTGCATCACAAAGCGGCCTTCACACACTTCATCTTCTTAACAGAAGTTGCAAAAAATATCTATTATGGTTTGTTTTCGATATTATTGACGTATTTTGACCTTTCGTTAAACTTCCGGTCCGACAATTATGCAAATTTTTCTTTACGTATATTGAGCATATTATTATTGCGAATCGATAACTAAAGATTCAGCTTAATTATTTAGTTTTTATTATGGGTTTTATCAGAACTGAAATATTTGCAATAAATACACGCATATCTGTGATATGAACAAAAATGCTGCAGTTTTTATATCAAAGAAATAAATTAAAAAACAAGAAAATACATTAATTTTGGTTGCTGCTTCATACGCTTCACAAATAACACATTTTCCATGCAAGAACTTGATTCCGATCGTTCAGTTTATATGGCAGCTATATATGTATAGCAATCCGCTCTAATCCGGAAATATTCCTGAAATTTGGCTCTTTTATTTGTGCGAAATTTGTAAATTTGTTTAGCAGCTGAATATTAAATAATAAATACTGTTTCCACCAAAATTGTAAAACATTTTCAAATAGTTCATATAGAATTGAGAGTGAATGAGTTGTAGTATGTATTTTTATATTTCCTTATCAATATTCTCGATAAGTTGAAGCAAATAATAATACTAAATATTTTCCACATTTCTCATTCATCATAGGATTGCAATCGACGATATATTGAGTTGCTGGAACAACTCCAAAGTCATCAGCAGAAATGTTTCAATGAAATAAAACATCAACGTTATCGGATGAATCAAATTACAGCTTCACTAAAGCAGTAAGTCGCTTTGAAAATGTATATAAAATCGCAATAATATAATATAATTATTTTTTGTGTTACTCGCACATACACGCATAAACATCATTAATATTGGCTGGTAGTGGTTTATATTGCAATTCAATGTCATGAAAACAACATGCAATGCAACAAAAAAACACTGATAATTGCGTCAATACGCTTGTCAAGGCAGCCAGACTGTCAGTTATCCAAAATCACTAACAACAACACTTTAAAAATTGCTTAGTGCTAAGAAGCAGCTCTATCAGTACTCTGTAGTCTTACGCATGTAGTGAGCGGCAGTGCGGCAAAGACCATTCACCCTACACGTGACATTGCGGCTGGCTTCGTATACAACAAATAATACAGAAAAATAATTAAAAAGGAAGGAAAATTTCGGCTGTTTAATGTGATCTGTAAACTAGCATCTTACAGACGCATGGTAAACATACAAGCGTGTGCAGCAATAAGCGTGCTCATATTTTATCGTAAAAAAGAAAAGAAGCTACAAAGTCCAAGGCTTGCCTATGGGTAAAGTGCATGTAAACAATACTCATAAATGTTTCGTTATGAACGCACTCTTTTGATGGGCCAAACTGGTTTGAGACCGAAATGCTTTTTTCCCACACACACATCTAAATGCAAGAGTGTTTATTTGCAAAGTGTATGAATGTATGTGTATGCGCATCACTTTATTTTTTATCGCTATAGCTTGGCTACTGATAAGCGTTTAGCACCTGAGCTTGTCTGCTGATACGATTTTAAATAAAAACACCTAGATGTTTCGATGTACTCTCCATCATTTCTGCATTAAAACGAAGTATTTATTTATTTGTTTATTTTTTTTTTTTTTTTTTTTTTTTTTTTTTTTTTTTTTTAAATAACAGCCCTTGGCCGGATAAAATCCGGGTCAATTCCGGTATCGCAGAACCGGCTGTTGTGGGAATTGATTCGTACACTGCCCATACCTACATATGGGACTAATCAAATCTTACACTGCAATTTAATTGCTAAATAAATGTGTGTAAACTTGTCGCTGCGCTTTGCCACCAATTGATTGTTGCATCAGTTACGAGCAATAAATTTGTTAGCTTTGTCCAAATGCTTATCATTAAGTTTGCCATAAAGTTTTTAGTACCTCGGGGGAAACGTCGCAGACCCTCCAAAGTACAAATTTAAATCATTTGCTGAGTCGATTTAGCCATGTCCGTCTCTCTGTAAACATATCTACTATCCAAAATAGTTTCTCAGTTTTTGAGCCTTCAGTTCAGCCGAATTTAACGTTGTTTTTTTAGTTAACAGGAGGTGGTGCTGCGTTTTGGCACTTTTTTCGTGCTTTTGTACTTATCGCTTTGTCAATCAATGTTCAAACTTTATTTGCAAATACATATGTATGTATGTAGGTATATAAATATATATGTATTCGTTTTGCTTGCATTCAGACTGGAAATTAAGCAAAATATTTTTTGTTTTTCGGCACAATCTTATCGTTTATCGCTAATAAATATTTTGCTTTTCTTTTGCCCCGCCTGCATAAAGCACTTGCTATGTTGTATCATCGAACATTTCTTGCACAAAATAAAATGAAATTGCCATTTACATAATTAAACAGCCATCGAATTCTACTTTGAACTTGCTGATGATAATTAACCAAGAATAATGCAAAGATAATTAGAACAAAGTTTATCTACATTTATGTGCATTTTTGATAAGAAATTAAACATAAGCCATCAATGGGTACGTTTTTAAAATCTGTATATATCACAGGCTTGAATTTAACCCCTTAGCCACTCGCATATCATAAAAAATGCGTTTTTTTGTGAATTTTTTTCTGAAGATTAGTATTAATTAATCTGTGATTCTTTTTGAGAAATTTTGGATTCCCTCGATCTCGTAGCCGGTCTCCAGGAGGACCTCCGAAACAAGTGGCTGACGGTGAGGAAGATTTCTTTACTTAAAATTATCTCAAATTTAAAAACCAAAAAAATGTTGCCGCTTCCGAGAGGCTTATAAAATCGAAATTATTATCAAACGTTCTATTCCTTCGATCATTACCTGACAGATATATCTTAAGAGATCGTGCGTGATTTCAATTAAATCGGTTCATTTCAAGTTAACTAATTCTTACAAATACGCTCATATCTCTACAACAATTTGTAGAATCAATTTCAAATTTTCGGAAAATATGTATAAGCAAAAAAAAAAGAATCGATTTCTTGAAGTTCGCAAAGGGATATTAAATAATTAATGTAACAAGAATAATTATAAGGCACTTACGACAAATATATTGCTGATATAAATAAATTGGGTGTATAACATAATGCCGACAATCAAGACAGAAAAAACTTTAAAATAACGGGTTGTTCAGAGTTTTATCGCGTCCAACCACTTCCTGCATTGTTTTTGTTAACTACGATTTTCTTTATCTTTTTTGAATATATTAACACTCAAAAAAGCCCATCTACGGCCTTACAACTTGATTTTGCAAATTTTTTTTCAAAAATATTTTATCTCTTCTGCATTTTATATTTTAATTTTGTCAGCATTTTGAACTTCGTAATTTTAAGTGTTACCCACTGCCACCTGCACTGCTTTGTTAGCAATTTTTGTGGAAATATATTCCATATATGAAAGAAAACGCATAGATTTAATATAACAAAATAAAGATTATTTAAACTACTCGCGTATGCCCAAAACATATTATTCAATAAACAGCGATATCCATTAACAATCAAATTTGCATTAAAACCAAATTTTCAGAAACAATACAGAACAGTGCACAAATCAGAAATTAACTCTAATCCAACAACACTAACAACAGCAAGTGCAATTTAAATTAAGCAAACAATATGCTAAGCTATAAAATCAAGTCAAGCCTCTCTCAACCTTCAACGTGACTCAGCCGTTTGCGTTGTTTGGAGAGGAGAGGCGTCTATTTGTGTTCGGCTTTTGCTTTTTTCACATAATCAGCTGTTATGTCCATTATTTATATATGCTACGACGCAAACCTCTGTGTCTCTGAAGCTGCCATCAAAGCTTTTATTTTATTTTCTTTGATTTGCTTTTGGGTTTTCGCTTTGTTGTACTTTGTATAGAATTTTATGGCAAGCAAAAAAATAGCAGATAGAATAGAAATTGCAATGTCGCGTGATTTTTCCCGAAATAGACTAAAATACAATGTATATATATGTACGCATATGTGTATGTATGTATGTAGGTTTGTAACTGAATAAAGCTTAGAAGACAGAGAGTGAACATTGATTGCCAACCAAGTACGCTGGATATCCGCTACTACAACAACAGCATACTGTAGTAAAAAAATTAACCGATTAAAATCAAGTTTCTGATCGAAAACTTTTTTGTTTGTTTAGGGTATAATAGCTTCGGTGCAAACTTCTTTCTGGTATGGAAAACTTTGTCATTTGACGAGGTATCTTGCCGAAATTTGGCACAGATTATTATCTAAGACAAAAATGCAATGTTCGAAGAAACTGTTCAGATCGAATCACTATAGCATGAAGTTAACGTTTTTTCATGTGTTTTTTTGTTTGTTGTTTATACGTTTTTAGTCGGTGTCACCCATTCTAGTGCAATGTAGTAAACTATAATTTTATAACTGTTTCTGTTACGGTTTCTGTTTTGGTGCAAAGTGGCTTTTGAAGCCAAGAGCAACGTTCTTTTGTTTTCATACTAGAAAACGCAGTTTTAATTTCTTTTATTCAAAAGCAGTATGTTGGGGATTACTATGTAGTTTTGATGATTTTGCACATTATTAGATTCAATTTGATTTCTACTTTGATACTCGTAGACTTTTGTAGATTAAGTATATTGGGTAATATTTAATATAAAATCGGATATGTTCAACGAAAAACTAAATAATAAAAAATATGAGCCCATTCTCGCTGCCACAAGGCCGCAAAATCGAAAGTGATACTGATATGTATGAGGCCAAGGAGTAATACGTCCAAAAATGTGTTTTGGAAATGTTTTATGCAGCAACAACAAAAAATTTCAGTTAAGAACACCCTACACCGATTTCCTTTTACTCTTTTCAAATATAAGAAGGTACGTATTTTGTAAGCTAAGAAAGTGTGACTAAAAATATATCACACAAGGCCTTTTTGGATTTTGTGAGTTGCTTTTTTTGGCCGAAACAAACTCGATGGCTTATGGTGAATCATGAACATTGCAAAGTCATATCAGATTATATTCCCACCTGACAGATATACACGGAGGGCGGTAAAGATGTCAATATAAGTACATAAGTATATCTAAAAAAATTCGAAAAGAGGTTTCTGTTGTGTCACTTAAGGGGTTATATCCACTTGAATTGCAAAAAATTTCTATATAAATTTTTGATAATAATTTCGATTTTTAAAGCCTCACTGAAGTGTTGAAAACCCATATTTTAATTGGAGATCGGCTACGGGAGCAAGGGATTAAACTAACATCATTATAAACAAAGAATATTAAAAAATTTTACTTTTGTTATTTCTTCTCTTCGCTCTTGTGACAACTAAAACACTCGAGTAACCTCTCCATATTTTTATACTCTTGCAACATGTTGCTAAAGAGTATAATATTTCTGTTCAACTAACGGTTGCTTGTATCACCTAAAACTAATTGAGATAAATGTATTTACTATATAAGTGATCAAGTGACTGTTGAATTCCGAGTGACTGTCTGTCCGTCCGTGCAAGCTCTTTTAAAAGTAAGCGCGGCCTCGCTCTCTAATAAGGTTAATGTAGATATTTTCTAAACTATTCAAGCTATAATACCCTGTAAAAATGGGTGAATTCGAATTATAACCCCGGCCACTTCCCATATAACGGTTTTGTTAAAAACTAAAGATATAAAATTTTACACCCGAGATGGTACGGAAGGACTTTATATGAGCCAGCGTCAAAGTTTGACGGTGGGCGTGACACCGGCAAATTTTGTCGATAATATAATATTATCTTGACAATCCCACACCACAATGTGAAAATAGGCGAAATCAGACAAAAACCACGCCACATTCCATATAACACAATTTTATATTTCATCAGACTCTTTCGTTTTCCAGATACAAATTAAGAACCATTCAATCTCTATGGATAAAACTTTGCACGAACAGTGCTTTTGTGGTTTACCATCTTATGACCAAAAATTGTCCGAATCACCAAAACTATTCAAGCTCCAGATACCGAATATGTGAACCCCAGTTCCTATTCCGAACTTTTTAAGAAAAATAATGGTCAACCTGTCAGATATATTATTGAAATTTGAAATAAATTTCCCCCGACTTTGATCATTGCAAGCTGCGAGAGTATGAAATGTTCGGCTACATCCGAACTAAGCCCTCCTTACTTGTTTCCATAGTATATATTTTAGCAAACTAATACACTTACCAATCATTCGGTTATCTTTGTCAAAATAATCAAAATAAAATTCGCATTCTTATCTGGAATGTTTTTATCGGATTTTGCTTGAATAATATTTACCTAGAATAAAAGTGGGAAAAATGTGGAAATAAACGTTGCAAGACATAGTGCAAAGGTAAATGTGAACTAATTGAATTGATTGCGAATGAATTCAGTAGGAACTAAATGCATATAAATGTAAATACCACAAAAGTGTAGTGAATACTAATGTACATACATATGTGCATAATTTCTTCTATAAGTAATGCTATTGTATATATGTACATATGTACGCGTATATAACATGCCTTGAGCTTAGCGTCTTTTTCGCGATTTCACATTGCAATTTGTGATTTTAATAGCTCTTACACGTTTTGCATGCACCGGCAGGCAGTCAACCTCAAGGTGGTTCATTAAATCGAGCAATAAATGTAAGTTGTGAATTAAAGAAAAAATTATAGCTAAACTGCAGCGGCTTGCGTTTTACTCGCTTCTAGGAGAGGCAAACCTGTGAGCAATTGCTTAAGTACACTTTATTGCCTAAGCCCGGCTTGTAAAGCGGATTACGCTCAATGCCCCCAGAAATTTGTTGGTGTTGTTGTTGTCACACCGGCCGGCTGAATAAATTCAAATTAAAAGTGATTTAAAACAATAAAAGCATATTTGATGTGAGAGCTCGTTTTATCAGAAGCGATCGGGCGCTGGTGCCTGTGTAATCAAAACAAACATCTAAAATACAAAAAAAAAAATAATAATAATATGCAATTTACGCAATTATCTACAATATTTATTTGCATATTTTGCACGTACTCGCAGTAGCTTTGCACTTTGCTATTTACAAGGGGTCTTCTATGGATATATGACCTCCAATTCTGTTTTGGTATTTATATTTGGGAGAAAAAAGATGCAAACTCAAATAAGAATAAAAAGTAATAAAGTACGGAAATATAAATTAATTAAAATAATTAATTAATTAAATTAATGCTCCTACATTTAAAATGTCACGGAAGAAAAACAAAAATTAAGTAAGTAATTACAAAAATAATATAATATATATATGGTATATATATGTAGATATATATATGTAGAAAATAATTATTGACTACGTACGCCGCATCTCCACAGGCAATGTAAATTGCCAACCATCTGCCAAATTGCAATGGAAATGTGACATTGTGGTTGGCAATGTTCTTGTGTGGATATTTGCTATCATGATATATTCATTCTCATGCGCATATTTGAGCTCTTGAGCCGTTAAAAATTTTACGAGGATGACACACATTTTTGTAGACGATGAAAAAGGTAGACATCTACTAGTCCGGTAAATTTAGCCATTTGAAGTTACATAAATTCACAACAAGCTGAAAATTGGTGAGATCGTTTAAAATATAATTATAAATAAAATTTCAAAGTTTCCCACCTTTCCCCCATATGGAAAAAATTCTATTCAAGTTCAAAGGTCAAAAATATGATGAAAAATTATTTTTTTTTTTTGCAATTTTCAACAAAACGGTAAGTTTTATCACAAAAATATCTCGGACCAAAATTGTAGATTATAAAATTATCTATAGAAAATGTATTAATCCTTTTTTCCTACGAGCCACTGTTTCGGAGATATAACGATTCAAAAATTAAGAAAAGTTGTAATCGTTATAATATCCACGTTACCTATGTGGTAGTGTACGTTTTTTTATCGTGGTTTCCCCAGTAGGCCTATTCCACCTGTCCTGTTTAATTTGAAATTATAACAAAATATCGAAAATGGCAAAGACTGCAAATGATAAAAGCGATATAAATTAAAAAAAAGTAGTGAAGTAAATTCTTTTTCCTGATCTTCTTGTTCTTCTTCTTCTGATCTTGATATACTTCTTGTTTTGGCTCTTCATCTTCAAGCTGGGTGCAAGTAAATTGCGTCAATAGCGATGTATCGCATGCCACCTTATTGGAATTAAACGAATTCTCCACTTTTGCTGATTCATCATTAGAGCATCACCGGCCTTGGCAACTTGTACATGCCATAAAACAAAACCGTCTAACTTTTTTGCAACCACTTTTAGCACTTCATGCCTTTTTGCAGTTACAAATAATTGTGTTCAGCAGTTTTTCTAGCGCAAATAGAAGTAAAGTTTGAACTGGTTCCAGAGCATTGTTGACCAATTTTCAACCCCAGTCTGTTGGGTCTAGCTAATTACCAAGCCACACTTAAACTTGAAGATGTTGATGAGCAGCATCTGAAGTTGGAGGAAGACAAGCTAATTGAACTTGTTTTTTACTTTTAGTATTTTTAACTAAACATACATATCTATACCGATCTAAGCAGGTAAGCATTGTTTGTCAATGAGTCATTTTGAAAGAGTGTGCAAAACAAAAGATTTAGGTATTTATTGCTTGCACGTGTGTACTAGTTAAATTGTTAAGGTAAACAATACATATGTCAACTATTGTTTGCTTCTTCGAAATTATTTAAAGCTTTGCGTAATCGTAAGTTTCTGGTCATTGTCCTGGAAACATCGCTTTACCTACTTTGTGATAAAACTGGCTTAGAATTAGTTCAAGAAGAACACTAACAACACTCACTTTATTGAACCAATCCTTCTGACGCATTCGAGTAAAAATAGGAACAAGGGAACTTACATACATATGTACATAGGTATATACCTACGTCTATATAAACCTATCCCTAACAGAGACCCTTGATAACTTAAAACCTCTATAACTTAAACTATTTTGTGTTTCCCTTGGACTTTACTTTTCTAAATTTTTGAATCGTTATATCTCCGAAAAAGTGGGTCGTAGGAAAAAAGCATTAATACATTTTCTATAGATAATTTTATAATCTACAATTTTGGTCTGAGATATTTTTGTGATAAAACTTACCGTTTTGCTGAACATCACAAAAAATCGCAAAAAAATCATATTTTAAGCCTTTGATCTTCAATAGAATACTTTTCTTACAGGAGAAATATGGGGAATTTTGAAATTTTATTTATAGCTACATATATTTTAAACGATCTCACCAAATAATTTGACCGGACTATAGTTTTTTCTACAAATGTATATTTTGGAAAAATAAGATTTTATGTTTAAATAAATGTTACTTAAAGTTTATTTACCAATTCAAGAATTAAATATGATGATTGATATTTTCATATGCTAACAATTCTCATTAAAATATTAACCATACATTATTTAATTACTATTTTCCATGTTTTGTTAAAATTTATGTTTTGAATATTACTTTTCTTTTATTATATATTATATTGCAGTTTACTCAACAAAACATAAAACATTGGCATTTTATCTTTGCTGGCATCATGGAACCGAAGCTTTATTTCCTCTTCGAAATTTGTGTGCAAATGAGAACAGCTCTGTCAAACCACAAAAATGACAGTTCATTGCTAGCAATGTATGGCATAAAATGTATTAAACATCAATTGCTAAACATTAACAATGTGCAGTCTCCATTGGCAATATTGCTAGCAATTCAATTTTTTAGCAATCTTTAATTGCCTGTCGAGATGCCTCTTTAACATAAACTTATATAGAATAAAGGAAATTATAAAACAAATACATATTGACAAAAATAAATAATATAAATTAACTAAAATAAGAAAAAAACGTTCACTTCGGTTGCACTTCTTCACATAAAAAAATTCCCATACAAGAACTGGTTCGGTCAGCTTGTATGGCAGCTGTATGCTATAGCAGTCTGATATGAAATTATTTTTTGGAAATTGTTGGGTTGCTTTAGACAATAATCAGTTTCTATGGCAATTATATCCCATAGTGGTCCAGACAAACGAACATGAATAAATAGACTGAGCAGATTATTTATAAATATACTTTAGAATGTCTCCGACTTTCCTTCTTGGTATTACAAACTTCGTGAACATGTCAAACCCTAAAAAAATAGTAGTTTATATACACAAAAGGGGTCATTTAGAGGGTGTTCGTATGCAGAATGAACAGCTTGTACTAATTTCGGTGTTGTTCTTACTCATATTTGAGGAATGTTGCTGAGTTGACTATCTCTGGCCAAACATAAATTTAGGTCCAATTCGAATACAAAACGGCATTGTCATGGAAACTAAACTCAGATGAATATCGTAGTAAACGGTATTACTTATTAGGGTCTGCAAATCATGGACATAAATCCGTATTATTTATTTATTTATAACTATCGGATAGTTAAATTTAAAAAAGTAAGACCAGTTGATGTAAAAATTTTAAAAACTATTAAATAAAGGCACTTTGAAGCCTCCAGAACCAAAATCATGTCGTACCGTATGTCTAGCTAATTAAATTACAATATTCAATTGAAAACTAGCAGCTGTGCAGTACAATGAAGCAGGTTATAAAGTTCCCGAAATGGTTTGTGAATACACAGTAGTTGTAAATCAAAGTGTTTAGTCATCCTCGGACAGTCTAAAGTGCAAAGTAAATCAATCAATCATCTACTTTGCAGGAAATCACTGCTAAGCTCTTTGTCACCAAAGCTTATCACAAATGCTATTTGTTTCTATACAAGCGTATATATGTTATGTACATAATTTAAGCATATATTTTACATTTTACAAATTGGCGTTTGAAATGCATTTGTTGGCATTAAAACTGACAAATTAATTATACATACTAACGCACAAATCGAATTTTGAACAATTAATCGCTGAATTTTAAAACAAATTTCGTTTGCGAGCAACACGCAATGCAAGCATGAATTTTGAGTGCTAGACTAGAAACTAGACAGATTCTAAATTATGTGCGGCAAATAGTAGACAGATATGTGTAGACTACCAGTGTCTTATCTTGATTCACATAAACTTAATATCACTTTAATAAAGATAAATGGTGGTTATGCCAAACTAGTTTTTAGTAAATTCTAAAGCAAATACAGAGTGATACATGTATGTAGTTCTTTTTTAAGATTAAAAATTAAAATTATAGAAAATCCAGTGTTTGTTTGGAAAACTTGTTTACTGTAGCATATAGCTGCCATACAAACACCGATCGAAAGAGAAACTTGTATGGAAACTTCTAGCCTCGGTGCAACTGAAGTTAAAGCTTTTTCTTGTTTTATGTTTTCTGCTTGCTTTTGCTTTACAAAGGAACAAAAGTCCAAACAATTTAATTACAGATAATAGCCGGTAGTCGTTGTCAACCGGCTTCTAACGCTCCAAGCCAATAAATTTAAATATCGATATTGCTTCTTATCATAATCGATATTATAGTTTTCAAATGATTCCAATAAAAAAATTCCGTGCACTTTGCTTTTTGCGCTGAGTGCTCAACAGATAGACTGCTATGTATATACAGTAAAATGGACTTTTATCCTAAATTTAACGGACTCAATAGAATTTATAGAACAAAAAACAAGTAAGGGCTAAGTTCGAATGTAACCGAACATTTTATACTCTCGCAAAGTCAAATGGTATACTCGTTTGAGATTTCTTTGTGGATTGGCTGATATTTTCGGTAGAAGGTCAACTATAGGCACTGGGATCCACATATTTAGAACTTAGGGGCTTGAACAGTTTTAGTTCGATTTAGACAATTTTTGGTCACAAGGTGGCATACTTTAAACGTATTATTAACGCAAAGTTTTACCCCGATATATTCATTCTGATCATTTATATATATATAACCCTATATCTAACTCGATTAGTTTTAGGTGATACAAACAACCGTTAGGTGAACAAAACTATTATACTCTGTAGCAACAGGTTGCGAGAGTATAAAAAATATATTTTGATAAGTTGTTGTTACGTGATGTTAACACAGCGCCAGAATTATGCCGAACGAATTTCATAAACTAAAAATTGAAATTTATACTTGCAATAACCCATCTGAGTGTAAATTTATTATTGTTCATTAAACGGTTAATTACATTCTGATTTTATTGCTATTTATGGTTACAGATACATACATATATTTGCAATTACACGGTCCATTGCAATAAAAAATTATTGTCGACACAAAGTTATCTACACAAATAATCTGTGGTTTTATTTCCAACGCTTTGTTTTTCATTTTGCTATTAAAAAAAGTATAATATTTTTAATTGTATTTTGCTACTCACAAAACATTAAATTCATATTACCGTTTTGTGCTTTTTCTTTTTGTTTACCATCTAGATGCAAAACAGCTCAAACGCCGGAAGAGAAGGGAAAGGTGGAGGAATTGAATAAAAACACATTGAAGCGCAAAGCGCAGATACACGAAATCGAACAGTCATTACCCACCAAATCGGGATTATATCTCAAGGTAAGTGTGTAACCTCGTTACATAAATTGAATATGCCATATTATTTTTACATTATTTATAAAAATATATTTTTGTATTTGTTACTTATCGTGCCTTAATTGCTAATTCGTTGGCGTTAACATTTTCTGCATTTCTAAACGCTCTTAATCAAGGCGGGAAAGTTCGAAATACGAACATACTTTACTTCTTTGGTCGATGCTAACAAGTTCTTCATCAAATACTGTATATCGGCACATCTAAGTTATTCTTAGAATATCTCCACTCTTTAAGATAAGAGGACTATGGAAATAAGCGATCAGCTCATTCCACTAATTATGGTATGTAAATTGTAATTGTCACCAGGTCCGGAACTTATACTTAATTTATATACTCTTGCAACATTTTGCTACAGAGTATAATAGTTTTGTTCACCCAACCGTTGTTTGTATCACCTAAAACTAATCGAGATAGATATGGAGGTATATATGTATATATAAATGATCAGGATGGCGACACGAGTTAACATCAGAATGTCTATCTGACCGTACGTCTGTCTGTGCAAGCTGTAACTTAAGTAAAGAGTGAGATATCCTAATAAAACTTGGGCGTAATCGGACCACTGTCACGCCCACAAAACACCATTAATCGAAAACCTATAAATTGTCATAACTAAGCCGCAAATTAAAATACAAAACTGTAATATAGTGCAACGAATCGTAATAACAAGAGGCACTTGTGGTTTGAAATTTTTTAAAAAGTGGGCGTGACCCCGCGCTCTAATAGGTTTAATATCGTATAAATCTTCAAAATCATTCAAACTTTATCAACCAAATTTGCACAGGACAAATCATTTCGACATTTCTTGCGCCAGTGTGAAAATACATAGGTGGGATTCCTTAAATATAAAATTTTGTCAACACCTGAAGTAGTTTCCCGGGCTTTAAGCCTTGCAAGTTGCGAGATTATAAAATGTTCGGTTACACCCGAACTTATTACTTCCTTACTTTATATATATATAATCTTAACTAAATTGAGTGAGCGTGTTTTTCTCCTAACGGTGCATCTCTGTGACTATAATGGATAAAGTTGGGTAAAATTTGCACCATTAAACTAACAGGATTTGGTTTTTTGACGGTATGGGAGGCACCTTAATTACAGTCAGAGAAAATTTGTTTCTATGAATAATATATAGTAATGCCAAAAATAGATAAAATCGTGTCAATATCCCATACTTGTATATCTAAAAAAAGATCTTCAAACTTCATTATACAGGAAATATTGGTCAATATGTAAGAGATCTTAGCAAATTTAACTGAATGTATAATATTGGATTTATTTTAATGCCGAAAATATGTGAAATTATATTATACTAACTATAATATAATAATTTCCATTAACAAACCGCTGAATGATTGGAGTTGGTCTAGACCTTGGTCTTAATCTCATATCCCTAATGCCCGTTTTGCAGATCAACTCAATATATTAAATTTAGCCTTTTCGGTTAAGTTTATGTCAGATATATCTCATTTCAGGATGATTTTAATATAATTTTCTCTGACGGCAAATAAAATATATCATAGTTATAAAACTAATAGGTCGTAGACTCAACCTATAATATAACTTAATAAAATACCAAATTTGATCGTATGATTTCGTCGAATAAAGAATGTTGAATTCTTTCGCAACATTTTTGAATATGAAGTTTTGCCAACACCTGAAGGTATTTCCCCGACTTTGATCCTTGCAAGTTGCAAGAGTATGAAATGTTTGGTTACTCCAAACCTTATTCTGACGTTTCTGTGGTATAGTGCAAAAACCTTTCCACCATTAAATAATAGTAAATGTCAAATTCGACTTTAAGTTTTCTTATCATTTCGTAGCTCGAAAATCGATGAACGAAACCATAAACCTACAGATCCAATAATTATATCGACAACTTGAATCTGGAAACATTTCAAAGTTGCTGTCAGGACTTTTGTCGACATTGAATCAGCCAAGAAATCAGACTCCAAATCTAAATAAAAGAACATTAACCTGAATGACTTTTTCCTTGAAAAAAATATTTAAGAAAGATACAATCTAATCAAAGTCAGACAAAAAATTTAATTTTCAAGTATTTTAATACAAATCTTAATTATCTTCTACAAAACAGGCACCTGAGCAGATGCAAGCATGCTAACGCTTAATCCTTACACTTGTCCTAAGCCTCGGCTGGGATGAGCTTCACAAACATAAAAAATGTTCTACCAATATAGCCGAAAAATTTTATCAGTTTGGTTTGCGCGCAATTGAAATGGTTCCAGTCCGGGTCAAATTTGATCGGATGGTATGTATTATACACTATTCTTCAATTTGCAACTTAAATGCCAAGCTTTAATCCAAAAAACGTTCACAGAAGTGTGTACTTGTTAAGTACTTAAATAACAGATCCAAGATGAAGATTTTTACCTAAGCAGTTTCTGCAAAAGTTCTATATTTGTGTGAGGAAAGCTAAATGCATGAGCATGTCTTTGATTGAGGCCGTTGACAATGGACAATTTATAATTCTCGTTACAAAATGCATAAGAACAGGTTGACAGCGCGTTTCCAGTTAGTCGAATTTATATATTCCGTCAAGGACTACAATAATAACAAGTACCAAACACTTCGAGTCTTCACATTAGGCCTATTTGGATATATTAAATGATCTAAAATAAGCTTCTTACCCAATCTTTTTAAGTTTAGGGCCGCTTCAAATAGAGTATCCCTTATTCTCTTTTTTACAATTAATAATAAATTTGTCATTTAATTGTATCGCATTGCAATTACGTCACATGCTTTTGCTCTATTGCCATTTCCGCTCCGCTTTCATGAACTTAAATTGGGCTTTTAAAGCTATTTATGATACTCGCCAAAACAATAACAGTATTTTATTATTTCCCTTTAGTTTTTTCTACTTCGTATTCGTTACCACGTTGAGCTATTTGTTTGCGTTTCGTTTACGGCTTATTTATGACCCAGCAGCATTTGGCTTTTGAGACACGCTCCGGCAGATAACAAAGCTGTGGGCGGGGCATTGATGGTTTAGCTGGTGTCAACGAGCAATTTGAAATGCAAATTTTCGCCATTTGTTTACATTGGAATGCTTTCGCTCGTTTATATGTTCGATATGCGAGGTAAATTGGTGTTTGAGAGGTGGTAGGGTATTACTTTTGAGAAAAATATTATTTTTTCAGCTCAACTATCAATTTTCTCAATATCCTTAAGAGTGATGCTTACAAATTTGAGGTCAAACGGCGCTGTTTACTGTTTTCTTTTACCATCTTTCTTTTTTGGATCTTTTTTCTTCAATATTTTTTTTATTGGCTTGTAATTTCAACTTACATATTTACTACATTATCAAACCACTTTGCATTTCTCTACTCCATTAATTTTATTAATTTCAATGCGAATATTTATTTATTTTTTTTCAGATCATTCTCGGTGATGTCAACGTATCAATTCTGAACAGAAACGACAAAGTTCGCTATAAAGATGATTATGAAAAGTTTAAGTTAATACTCAACGTAATTGGACTGTTAATGGCATTTCTCAATTTGATATTCAACTACAGGTGAGTTAGTGTGTTGGTGGCGACTCTGTTGAAGGCGTACGTGGTAGTAGAACCAAACACGTCCGCGTAGCGCTGTACTTTACAGCATCGTTGGTTGTCGGGAAATGCGAGATGCTCGTTTCTTTCAATTTTCCTGCTCACCTCAACCTTTAGCTCCAACAACCTTCGCCATCGTCTTATATTTGTTCTTTTCGTTGTCTTTCATGCTTGAACTTTAGCGCTTGCCCTTATTTGTGGCGCTTATGTTTTGGTATTTTTCTCTTTGTTGCGCTGTTTATAAGTATCCCGCCTTCCTTCATACCTACCAATACTTACTTCACTCATTTATTTTCATACGGTAGCGTAATAATTTCCGTAGAAATTATTGCTTTGCTCTGATTAAGTTTTGCAAATTGTTTTTGAATTGCATTCGAATGTCATTCCAAATATTTGTTTGCCAAAGAATTTCTGCGAATTGTTTATAATTTGCTTTTCCTTCTTTTAATTTACGTTTAATATGAATTTTTTTTTGCCCAAAATCAAGTGGTAAAAAGTTGTTTTGATAGCGTAAAGGCAAACTTTTACGTATTGCGTTTGGTTGGCACCAGAAAAAAATATTAAACAACAATATTTTTTGAAGCGAATTTTTAATTGGCTTTCCAATGAGCCGTAGTAAGTCATAAAATCAGAGATTACATGAAAACTCAATTATCACGTTCGAAATGGACTTTTTATGTCAAAAAAGTTCGGGCAATTACAGCCGAAATGTGAAAACATGTTCGTTTGGGATTAATGTTTTTGTAATTAGTAAAAATTTCACAGGCTTTGAATTACTTTTTTTAGGTAACTCGAAAATGGAATTAAAATTAAGTAAGAAAAAAGTAAACTATTTAGAAGAATCTCAGAATTTTTTATGATTAGTGCTTTACTGCATTGATAAACAAATGTCTACAGAAATTATCTTTCAAACAAACGCCATAGATGTATTTTTATATTATTGTAGTTACCTACGCAAAATTATAAATTTCAATAATACTGCCACGAACAACCGTTAGATGAACAAAACTAGAATTTTGTTATACTATTTGAGCAAATTGTTAGACTCGGCAAAAAAATACCTACGCTAAAGGATATTTACATCTGCCTTCCCACGACAGTCGGGGTTTACGTAACCGTATTAATTAGGATTTTTCTCCGTAAAAGGTTAATGCGGCAACGTTCCGCCATAAGAGCCTTTATTTTGTGCTTACTTTTATTCTTATAATAACCAAAATATGCTTGAATTGTCTCAATGTATTTATAGGAGTTAATACGGTGCCTCAAAGCCTGCTAAAAAAAAAATCAATAAGGAGACCGCTGCGCATAGCCAATTATTACAACAACATTACTACTTGTTGACACTTTGGTTCGAATAAATCAATGCATATCGCAAAATCGGCGCAGAATTCGTAATTAATATGTCTTCTTAATTTTTGTATAACTATAGGTCATTGTTTCCCGAATTATTTGACAACCCGACACCCCTCACAATTATAATTTCTGTTTTTTTTTTTAAACTTTGATATTTTTGGGGGAATCAATATATTTTCACTCCTATTCATCAATTTTTAATTCACTGCTAATATTTATGAACTTGTTTTAAATAGTGATATAATACTATTCATATATCGTTGCCTACATTTAGGCATATTACTCATATTTTACCGAAGACACGCACCTGATAAAAATAATATTAGTCAAACTTGAGCTGTATTGGAAAACTTTTTTTTCTCATTAGAGTTTTTTTCCATAATATTTATGTTGAGTTACTTCTCGGCGAAAAATTCCTCAAGTACAGTTTTTAATTTAATTTCTCTACTAATTTTTTATTGTTATTTTTTAACTAAAGCTTTTGACAACCCCTCCTAATGTACCCCCACATATAACACTAATATGACATTTGTTGCCTTTCACCCACAGGGCCCTGGAGCTGGCTTACATTTTCCTGCTAGTCTGGTATTACTGCACCCTCACCATACGGGAATCGATACTCAAAGTGAATGGATCGCGCATAAAGGGCTGGTGGCGTGCGCATCATTTCATCTCAACCGCAGCTGCAGGTGTATTGCTCGTGTGGCCGCAGGGCGAGCACTGGCAGTTGTTCCGCACACAATTTATGTACTTCAATGTCTATATCAGTAAGTAGTCAAGTAGCCAAGCTGACGCGACGCAGACGTCCTTATTATGTCAACAGTATCATTTGTATTAGGCGCGTTTATCCTCAGAGCAAACACACGAATACACACAAGTGCAAACTGACTGACTTACAAATTGCTGATTTATTTACCATGCTATTACCTATTTATTATATGCACCAACAACAATAATAACAAGCAAGATCTCTTTTTTGCTTTCTTCACATTACAGACATTGTGCAGTATCTGCAATTTGGCTACCAAAAGGGTTTGCTTTATCGACTGAAGGCGCTCGGCGAACGTCACAACATGGATATCACCATTGAGGGTTTCCACTCGTGGATGTGGCGTGGCCTGAGCTTCTTGCTACCATTCCTATTCGGCGGCTATACATTCCAAGCATACAATGCATGGACGTTGTACAAGTTGACAACGTATCCACCGGGAGCACCGTGGCATGTAAGTATATGCCTGAAACGCGACTGCTGCTTGCCGCAAGCGTCGCATACGTCAGTCTCTTAAGTGAGTGCTTGTCAAGGACATTTAATTTGTTGCTGTTGTATGTTTGTTGCTTGCTTGGCTGACTGGCTGCCTGTGTGATTTATTGAGTGGGTACTTGAGTGACAGTAGGCAGCAGCAGCTTGCCAGGCGACTTGCCTTGCTGCAGGCACATATACACTTGTGGTGCAATTCAAAGCGTCTGCACATGCCTCATACATGTGCGGGTGTATGTGTGTTACTTGATTGCGTGCTGGGCTTAATGCATTGATTGATTGTGCCTGATTTGCTGGCTAATTGATTAATACATTTCAGCTAATTCGCATGCGCTGCTGCTGCCCGGCGCGTATGCTGGCATGTATGCGCGTGTGTGCTTAATCTTTGTTGATTTTCCGCCTTTTATCGACCACTCACCATTTTCTGCATTATTTAATTTTGCTGACTTAACCATTTTTCTTGTTGCGTTTCGTTTTGGTTTTTTCCTTGCTTTGTTGCACTGTAGGTGTCGGTGATGTGCGGCTTCTTCCTCCTGCTATTCAGCGGCAACATTATCACCACACTGTTGGTGGTGCCCGAGAAGATACGCGAACGTGCCAAGGAACGCTATCGCCTGCAGTCCATGGGCACATCGATGAAATTGCGCAAAATGATGAGGGTGAGTATGGAATGGTTGAATGCGAAAGCATTCACTTAAATTTTGTGTGTGTGATTTAACGCTTTAATTATCCATTACACTGTATACTAGCTTTACATAAGAAATTCAATAAGTTTAAGACAAAGTTTGTATGATCTCATTTTTTCTGCAAAAAAGCTTGTGGGTTGGATTTAAGTTCAAATCTAATATAGTATTTGGTTTTCTGAAATTTATGGGCTGTAGTATGTGACACCTGAGCTTTTTACAGCAGCTGGAGCTTTAATTGTCTTTTGTCGCCTATTTTTCCATATTGGTATTTAATAATTAAAAGTCAAATTACATGTTCGCTTAGTAAAATAAAAGGACGACCTTAAAAATAATGCACTACAAGTACAAGCTTAAAGCTCAAAAAAGCTTTTAATTTTGAAATTTATACAATTATTTTACATATTTCATAGTAAAATTAAAAATCAATTTAATAAAACTTATCTACGCTTAAAAATAATGCTAATAAAGCTTAAAACTATTAAAAAGCCTTTATTTAAACAATGCATTGTACGAATTATTATAATTTCTTAGTATACTTCCCTATTCCAAATCAAATTGTATAACTATTTTTTGTAACTTAAAGTTAAGTTGAAATTGAAATTAGAATAACCCCAATTAAAAAAAGCGCTATATAATCTTAAAGCTCCAAAGAAACTTTTTATTATTATCACAATTATTTCATAAATTTTGCAATCAATTTAAATAAAAAATAAACTAGTACATACATATATATTATAATTTGTATAGTATACGTCTACAATGTAAATAAAATTATTTTTTGGAAATTTTAAAGTTAAGAAGTAAAAGTAAAAATAGTCCAAATTTCAAAATTTGCGTTATAAGCTAAAATCTCCAAAAGATTCTTTTGATTTAAACAGATGCTTTATGAATTTCTATAACTTTTATAAAATATTTTTAATGCAAATTTGTTATAATAAACTCTTAAATTGCATAAAAATTTGGAAAACTCTTTTAATAATTATAAAATATAGAATTTTTTTATATTATAACTTCTATAGAATATTCTTATAATGAAAAGCAAATAATGCATTAAAAAATAATTGAATTAACATTTGAATACAATTTTTTATTTATATTTTGTAATCCCAACATCGGTATTGAAAAACTAAAATATAATAATGAACTAAAAAATTTGCAACCCTGTTGTAAAGTAAATTTTTAATAATTATTTTTTTTAATTAGCGAGGAATTTTCATTTCAAGAGTTTAAAAAATCATTTAAGTTTGAAAATTGTTATATACTTTTTTAATTGTTGTAAAAAAAATTAAAATTTTGTGGATGGAATGTTATAAATATTTAAAAATAGTTCATTATTTTTAAAGTAGTCTACGAGTACAGTTTCGTTAATTATTAAAACACAACAAATTGTTTCCGCTAATATATCTAAACCTAACTTCTTGCCATATCTACTTGCCTAACTAACATATTACCTATAACTTACACATATATATCTCACTTAATACAAAAACATACTAACTCAAAACCACGCTTTAGTCACAACCAATAATTACTTTGCGTTAATTTTTTATTAATTACTTGATATAATTTTTAAAGGTTTTCCTAGTAAAGAATTGGGCGATAATTTATGACTTTCTCCCTAATTCTGCTCAGGATTGTATTTCAGCCCCTAATCCAAAAACCCGTTAAGTTATGTTTTTTATTAAACATTGTACTTAATCGCAAAATAATTTAAATTAGGTAATTATTGTTAATTTTTTTTAATTTCCTATATTTAATTATTAAATTAATTAATAATCAAAATTAACTGTCTGCCAAACGATTGTATTAAGCATACGAGTATTAATAAAAAAAACTTTTATTTCAAGCAAGCAATGTTTATTAAAAACTAAAAAAAAAGATATTGTAAATAAAACAAAACAAATGTTTCCTCCTTTGTTTTTTAGTTTTTAAGTAATCCAAAATACCTCAAACACTCATGTATGTAATATAATAAAAATAATGTTAATATTCCTTATATTTATGTGTTTTTTGTTTGTTTTGTTTTATTGTGCTTAAAAATAATTTTAATTAATTTTAATTTTATTATTGTATTTAAAAAAATAAAAAATGCTGTCGAAAATCATTTGAAACAAATTTATAAAATATTAAAAAATATGATATATTTTATTCAAAATATTTTATACATTTTATTTAAAAAAATTTCGTTGGTTGAGAATATTAAACTTTGCGCCAAAAGGTATTTGCAAAGATATTTTTTAACATGTTGCAACATTTATTCGGCGTAAAATATCACATCAATGACTAAGATGGCGGCCGATGGAACACAGAGGAAAGCAGAGAGTATTCTCTAGCCGAGGTATGATTCTGTCGCCGGAAAGCTTATTTTAAAGTCAACCACTTAGCGATCCAAGTAGGGAAGGATCGCCATAATAACAACCCTTGGCCGGATAAATCCCGGTAAATTTTAGTAACGTAGAACTGACTGTTGTGGGAACTGCTCTACTAGATTAACTTATGGAGTCACTAGACAATAATACAAAAGTACAAGTATAATATCATAAAACTCGGAATTACAGAAAATACTTCGACCCAAAATTGTATTTTCATCGAAATATCAAGAAAGCAATAGTTAATATCTTGTACACATAATCATAAATGAAATTTATACTCGTATATATACCATAAATTTAAGAAACCGTCATGTTAAGACTACATCAGTGAAATTCCAAGTTTGCTGTGATGAGTCGGTATATTGTTCTGCCATAAATACGAGGTTTGTTGCAAAAGATGCTTACTGAAATATACTTGTAGGCTGTGTACTACATACATATATTGTTTAAGGCAAGGATGTCCGCCATAATGAGACGTAAACATTTATTTGTCGGCAAGCAAATTTTGAAATATGGAGTGGAGTTACATAAACCCTTTTATATATAAATCTTAAGTGTTTTACAGACTGAGCTGAGACATGTCAAATCTTTGAGACAAGTTTCATTTCACATAAGAATCAGTGCGAATTCCTAGTGTTGGATCGCCCAGAGTTGACCTATGTAATGTATGAAACCGGGTAGGATTTTTATCCGGCCAAGAACTGTTAACTAGACAGCATTCTTGAAAATTATTTGGGGAATGTTTTCTGCTGCTACAACAACATTGTCACTGAGTTGAAAGTTCTCAGCTTATACTTCGGTTGAAGCTCTTGCTGAAGCTTTGTCATATGACGGTCTAGCTAAATGCAATATTTTTTGTTTTCAATTTAATTTTTTTTTTTTCTATTTTGTATTGTATTTATTTTTTTTTTTTAGATATTTTTTTAGGTTTTCTTTTTGTTTTTTTTTTTTGCTTGAATTGGATTTGGCGTTTTTTTTGTCTTGCCTCTTCGAATATTGTAGTTTGAGCTCAAGTTCGACCCACAATCGTCGCACTTTCATAATATATATAGTGAATATGTAAAAATTATTATGATTAAATTTAAAATACAGCAAATGTGAATAACATTTAAAGTGAGTTTTAAGCATTGTAAGTAACAAGCTAGTATAAGTATACATAATTACATATTTACAAACACTTAGGTGTAACATAAAGCCTTTGTTTATATTGCCTTAAATGTCATTAATTTATGAATAACACAAATGTTTAATAAATTTCCTTCCTCTCTCTCTCCCGCACACTCACCAACAACACTACAGAATAGCATCAGTGAAACGGACATTTCCAGCCAGCAATTGCTAGCCAATAATAAACTAGAAAACTCTACCTCCTTTCAAAACATAGGCGATGCAGCAGGACAAACAACAACAACAGCAACAATAGATTCAACAACAAAAACGTCATCAATTAGCACCGGTAATGCAATCACACCAGCAGATGGTGATGTCAAGCAAAACCAGCACAAAGCACAACAACAACCACAACAAGAACAAGAGCAGGATGTGGAATGGACGAAACCAGAGGATAAGAAGACCAATTAAAAAATGTGGCAGCTCCACCGGCCAGAGCTGCGGTGCAGTGTGTTGCAGAGTGTGCTTGGTTTTTTCAATTAAGTGAAACCTGATATTTTCAAGGTTTGATTAGTACACAAAACGTAGAAAAAAATTTTGTAACTAAAGAATGGAAAAAGATTGAAGGAAAGTACATACATACGTGCATATGTATGTAAGTGTAGTGAAGTAAAAACAAAACGAAAAAAAGTTTAACATTTTCATAAAATATATCAAAATGAATTTAATTACTTGTGTGTGTGTGTAATTATAATTTACTGGGAAATGCTCACATAAAAGCCAACAACAACAATTTTTAATTAGGGCAAAATGTGGCAACTTTGAAAGCGGCAGAAGTGTTGCATATTTAAAATACGTAGAATATCCCTTATACTTTTATATTAAAAAAAATTTTAATTTATTATTAGTACTAAAAATAGCGAAAAAATATCAAAAATATAGAAAATGTAATGAATTGTATTTTTAAGCAACTCTCTTTATTTATTGCAATTTTTAAATAAATGTGTGATTGTGCTTTTTTAACACAAAGCATACTACTATAACCACAACTAATTTTAATTGTATGCTAAAGTAAGAAAGTTTTAAGGGGCACACCTAATGTGAAGTTTTTAAAAATTGATTTTTTTCATTATAACGAACGATATTTTAAATAGTTTTTGAGTTACAGCCTTCTTAAGTGGAGCCGCTCAGTTCGATCAGGTCTATCAGTTTGGCTTTAAACGCGTTTTTCTCAAAATTGGCATACAATGACCTACCAGTTTTTTGATCTGCTCAAAAATCGAATTTTGGCAGGCCAAACTTTTAGACTTTTTTTTTAATCCTTTTTTCAATTGTAGGTCATTGACAAAACAATTTCTTCATCAAAAGTTTTTGTTTTGTTTTAGGTTTTTTTTAATTCCGCGGAAAAGACCGGAATCACAATTTTTTCTTCAACAAATTTAATGCAAATTCTTAAAATTTGTACAAATATACTTTTAAAACAGTTGATACAATAGTTTTCCTTTTTTTTTAATTCTCGAAAATCGCCGTTTAGTGGCTGTCACACTAGTTATGCCCTTTAAATACTGAGCGAACAATGGAAAGCGAGAGCATAAGAAAGTACTTACTTAAAGTTACTGCGAGCGTTGAGAGAAGCTGATATATTTTATATTTTTACATTACCAAAACCTTGAAGTGTAGGCGCTTAAATTTATGCTACGATATATTTTTTGGTAACTTATAAGCTGTAAGTAAACTGAATAAATTGATGAGCGGAACTTTTTTTTTTTGCATTTCAGTATGTATGCTTGTGGTCTTGACATACATATGTAAAATACAAAAGTTTAGGTTTTTTATTAAATTTTTATTTTATTTTTAAAGTTTTTTATTTGCTTCTAGCATTTTATTATTTTTTAAGCTTTTTGGATTGTTTTTGTTTTTAGCTATTTATATTTTTTTTAAGTTTGTTTTTTTATCATTTTATTTTTTTAAAGTTTTTTTTAATTTTTTTTTCATTTTTTTAATATTTTTTTTTATTTTTTTAATATTTTTTTTTTACCTTTTTTATTTTTTTTAATTTTGTTTTGAAATATTTTGCTAAAACATTAACCCAAGACTATGGCACTTGCAGTAAAACAAAAAAATGCGATTTTGCTGAAATCGGAACTTAAAGCGGAAAGACAAAATAATCTTGTACATCGTACATACATATGTACATACTCACATAACAACCCACAATTTTAAACCCCATACATACATACATATACGTAGATTAAAACACCTAGCATTTACTTATACTTGTGTAAGTGTAAGCGAAAATTGAGACAAACTGTAAGAATTGAAGAATTGAAATTTAACAATGAATAATATAATATAGGTAACACTACAGCAATGTAGTACAACCACGAAGCCAAAAATAAAAACAAATTTGTACACGTATGCACATACATGCATATATGCAGCCAACTACATTTGTCATTGAAATAACAGTATTCATAGTTGTGTATACCAGTGTTTTTTTTATATTATTTATTCTTTCTGTTTTAATTGAATCAGCGTGTCACTAGACCACGGTGAGAATTAAACAGTTTACCACATATCCTATAGTGAATGCCATGAAAGTTTGTAGAAAACACGCGTTCGTCGAATTTTTTGGTGGAATTAATCGGAAATATAAAAGCAAAAAACATTAAAAAAAATACTTCAAAAATTTTGAAATACAAACTTACATACATACCAAACTTAAAAAAGAAAAGAAAGCACTAAACAAATGTGTAAGCGATTAAGCAAACTATGTAAAACCTTTAACTAGCAAACGAAGGATTACAATAGCGAAACAAATTGTAATACTTACAAGAATAACGAAAAAAAATTAATAAAATCAATAAATAATAATTGAGTGTAAAAAAATAATATGTTATGTGATATTATTGTGTTCTTTTGTGTGTTTTTGGCAGATCGAACATAGCGGCGGAAATATATTAAATAGTAAAGGTAAATTGTGGTTTTGGCTGATCTCTTAGTATCTTTCCAATATATTTTAAACAAAGCATTTTTCTACGTAATTGATAAGAAGTAAAGTTGAGTACTTTAATTGGTTGGTTGAAAGTGTACGTCGAAATAATGAAAGCGGTCAAACTTAAGCTATTTTAATTGAATTTAGCCTTGTAACGATGGAAATTTAGTCAGCATTTACCCTTCACAATTAAAAAAAATTTCATACAGGAACTTGATTTTGATCGGCCAGTTTGTATGGCAGCTATATGCTATAATAGTCCGATCTGAACAGTTTAATCGGAGTACCATTATCTTAGACAATAATCCATTTCAAATTTCGTGAAGATATCTCTTCAAATAAAAAAGTTTTTCATACAAGAATTTGATTTTGATCGTTCAGTTTGTATGACAGATATAAGGTGCGTTGGAGTTGGCAATCACGACAGCAGTGTTGCAAATTTGTTAAAGTATCACGTTCTGCGTGAATTTTTGGTAACACTTGCAACAGCGTCACGTTCTACTGTCACTTTTTGCACGCAATTTATGCAAATAATCGGCAACACTAAATTTTTGTCTGCACATCAGTAGAGTATTAGCAAATATGCAACACAGTTGATGTACTGCTGCAATTATGACGTAGCTCGGACGCACCCATATGCTATAATGGTTCGATATTGGCGATTCTAACAAAGAACTATTCAAATTCTAAAAAGAGCCTGTGAAAGTTTTTAAATCGACATCTCAGGAAATTATTATTAACAATTCCAAAACTGACTAAAAACAGTCTCTGATCATACAATAAAACTTTTAAATATAATATAATAATGAAGGAACAAAGATTGTTACAATCTTAAAACGATATTAAGGTTGTTCGTTGGAAGTTCTGAATTTCCCGCAGTTATTATACCAGTTAAGAAGTACTACATAAAATATGGTTGAAAAATTAGCTAAAATATTAAAAAAAGTGACTGGACATTTTACCTTAGAATGTTAATAAGAAGAGAACGGACAAGAGTGTTTTATAAGAAAGGAGAATTTGTTAAACATATCATCAGGATTTAAAATTTAAGTGTCTTGTGAGCATGAATATCCATAATTGTCGAAGGTTCCATTTTCGACAACAACAAAAAATTGAAAGTTATGGAAAAATATATATTTTTTTTTAATTCACGATGTTCTTTCGACTACAGTCTGAAGGGTTTAAGTGGCCAACATTGAATTGAAAAATTTTGATTTTGGAAATTTTTTTATCGAACTACATATTTCCGGTATCCGTATAATTGCTCTGATTTCATTGTATTGCTCTGATTTCATTCATTTCAGGCAAGAGGATACAATGTTATAAGAAGCAGATACTTTTTGAATGTCATTAAGATTACTTACTTATTGACCGAAAGATGAGATATAAAGTCCACCGGAAGTTCGAAAATATTTATATTAGGTATATGGAAGTATTGACCCGGTTTAACCCATGTTCGGCACATGGACATTGACTGATAAGTTCGGTAAAAAGTAAGCCATATGCACTGGGGTTCACTTATTGGGTATCTGGGTCCTTGAAAATGTATTATCCTATTTCTACAATTTTTGGGTGTTGGAATGAAATACCTTGAGTTTAATGCTAACAACTTCATCGATTTCTGATTTGCATACTCTAAAGTTGAAGAAACAGATGGAATTTAAAAATTTGTTGCATGGTAATTGAGTGGTTGTCATCGGAATGTCAGTGTACAATAGGCTTGTTTGAGTAACCGTACATACCAAATTTGATTGAAATCGGTCAGGTAGTTCCTGATATATAGGAATTCACTTAAAAGTGAAATTGAATGTTTGTGGCGCATTTATTCAGTGTTTTATCGCACTTTTAGTAGTTTTGAACATAATCGTTATATGGGAATTTTTGCTCAGCAAGTTTGGTTGATTTAACAACACGCGTACGAAGTTTAAAATTGTTTTATATGAGAAGTAGGCATAGTTGGAGACCGAATTCGCACACCGTAATATGTGAATTCGCCGAAATTGGGCAACTAGGACATAAAAAATGAACAAGGATTTTTATATGATGGACCGACTCTAACCCAGATTTGAACTCGCCCCGTCATCCTGATATCCGTATATAACTTCCATTAGTTTTGATTAACACAAACAACCGTTAGGTGAACACAACTACTAAAATCTGTTAGAACATATTGCGAAAGTATAAAAGGTAAGGAAACTTTGGGACTCAGAGAATGATGAGTAGTTTTAAATTTTATGTAAACTTTCTCTTTATTACGTCAATTTAAAGTGTATCAATAACAACGTCTACTTTATACAGACAAAATAATAATTATATCGAGTGACGAATAGAACGACCCAGACTGCTCCCCGAAAACTCTCTCTTGTAGAATGCAATTTTTTTTTTGGCGCAGCCTATATTTCATATACATATGTATTGTACATACATATGTACGTAATGTAAAGCACTTTTCAGAAAAATTATCGCCAAATAACAGACATTTTTATAAAATTAGTTGGGTCAAAAAAGTAGCATACATTGTAACTTACATCCTGATATATTCAGTGAGATGACTCGATGAATTAAATACCACGTCTGATTTTCAAGATAAGAATTGAATAAGAATTTCATATGAAAGGCACGAAAAAAAGTTTTGAAATGATAAAACCTGAAATTGTAAGAATAATTTGGTATTTATGTAGACATTTTATAGCAGATGAGGGTGTTAATTTTAAAACTTTTTCAACATATTGTATTTGAAAATTTAACACATTCTTCTATCTAAGTACCTAAATCAATGACTTACAAACAATGAAACCATGGACTTACCTTTATGGATACTGCTGGTTCATGTTTACTGGTGGCAAAGTACAACAATAAATAACGCAGAGCTCCGCTGCTTGGGACTCACGTGAAAACTGACAGATAATGTCAGGGTACGACCGCAGGAGGAGCTGAGCGGAGGGTAAGCACAATGTGTAGATAATTTATGCGTAAGTTTGTATGATTTATTGGGCACTTTTTGTTTGCCAACAACAGCCAACTGCCAAAAGTGTATGTGTTGATAGG